GCCCCACGACCACTCCCCCTCCCAAAAAAGTCTCATGGACTTTCATGATCTTCAGATCTCAAGTTTCCTGAGTAGCTAGGATCACACACATGAGCTACCAGTGCCCAGCTTTGCTTACTATTCTTAAGCACCAGGATTTCTGTAAATTCAAACCAAAGAAACTATGAACTTGTCTGTTTGCAAAAAAAAAAAAAATACTGAAAGTCTGCAATTGTCACCACTTCCCTAGGCTGCTATGAGTTAATGTGATGGTCTTCTTAAGGACTCCCCTAAAACTGGCGTTTCCACAGAGAATGGTATTCAAAGTGCTAGTCACCAGTTTAGTTGGAATTTAAATTAATAATCTTCCTTCACTTAGTAAGCCTGGTACAAAAATAAGTCGAGGTGAGTTGTATATTTACATTCTGGTGAAAATTGTGTATCTTCCTGTTCTCTTCAAAACAGGAACAAAAAGTTCATAGACCAGCAGCCTGTTCATGCTTCTGGAACCCTAGCATTTTTTATTTTTGCTATGAGATCCATAGCTCCAAGGACAAGACAGATGTTTTCTCAAGCTTCCTTTGCATACTGCACAGGATAACAGTACCATGTTGTTTTTGGTCAGGAAGATACACAAAAAGAAGGTACTGGGTAAGTCAAGTGCTGGTGGCTCACGCCAGTAATCCTAGCTTCTCTCAGGAGGCTGAGATCTGAGGACCACTGTTTGAAGCCAACCTGAGCAGAAAAGGCGATGAAACTTTTATCTCCAAGCACCAGAAAACCAAAAATGGAGCTGTGGCTCAGTGACAGAATGCTAGCTTGAGCAAAAAATCTCAGGGACAGCTCCCAGGCCCTGAGTTCAAGCTCCATGACTGAAAGGGGGGAAAAAGTTGCTGGGTTAAAAAAAAAAATCCAGGGCTGGGAAGGTGGCTCAGTGGTAGAGCGCTTGCCTTGCATGCATGAGGCCCTGGGTTGGATTCCTCAACACCATGTAAGCAAAAAGAAAAAAAAAAAATCCTTTACTTAGGTCATGGAAGGCATTTAGCTTCTAGGAAACACCTAGTGGCCAGCAGTAGCAGTGCAGGCAGTAGTGTTCATACCAGGAGATAGGATCAATGGTTATTTGCTACCAAAGATAAAGGCATGCTCTGGACATTGTTTCTTGGCTGTGATACTTCAAAGCCTGGCTTACTCTGTCTCTCCCAAAGATTAGCTATGCTAACTCACTGGTCTTTCATAATGCTTCAAATTTCTTTCAGACAGCCATTATATATCCCAATCATTTTTTTTAATAAGTCTTAAGGCCTTGCATTCAGCGCCTGGGGCTGTCCCTGAGCTTTCTTTGCTCAAAGCTAATGCTCTACCATCTGAACCACAGCTTTACTCCCATAAGTTTTTTGGTAATTGGAGATGAGACTCGTGGACTTCATTGCCTAGGCTGGCTTCAAACTGGGATCCTCATATCTCAGGCTCCAGTATAGCTAGGATTACAGGCATTGAGCAGCACCCTGCCCTTACAAGCATTTCTGTGATTACTTTTAAGCCTATTGAAACTCTAAACATTCTTTAAAAAATACAAAACTGATTGCCAGATAGCCCATATCTTGTACAAAGTTATTTGTTTTGTCAGTTGTGGGGCTTGAACTTAAAGCCTGGGCACTGTCTCTGAGCTCTTCTTGCTCAAGGTTAGTGCTCTACCACTTAAAGCCACAGCTCTACTTCTGGTTTTCTGAGTCTCACAGACTTTGCTGTCCAGGTTGGCTTTGAACCATGATCCTCAGATCTCAGCCTCCTGAGCCACCAGTGCCCATCCAGAGTCCTTTTTTTTTTTCTTCTAGTCCTAAGGCTTGAACTCAGGGCCTGGGCACTGTCCCTGAGCTGCTTTTGCTCAAGGATAGCACTCTACCACTTGAGTTGCATCACTACTTCTGGCTTTTTCTGATTATGTGACACTGAGAAACTGAACCCAGGGTTTCATGCATGCTAGGCAAGCACTCTACCACTAGGCCACATTCCCAGCCCCAAAGTATTATAAACCCACAGGTAAACACACTTCTTAAGGTTTTGGTGATGGTGGTGACTATAGGGCTTGAACTCGGGGCCTTCCCTGAGTGCTTTTATTCAAGGCTAGTGTTCTAGTGCCTTGAGCCACAGCTCCTCTCTCAGTTTTCTGAGTCTCGTGAACTTGGCTGCCCAGGTTGGCTTTGAACCATTATCTTCAGATCTCACACTGTCAGTCACTTCTTTTTTCTTAGAATTTCTATATCAAGGAAATAAAATTTTTAGTAGAAAAAGATAACCTTTCAATTTTTCATAAAACCTGTAGAACCTGAAAAACATCTCGTTTCAATATTTAAACAGAAGTGTGTTGAGACACGTTAGTCATTTTTGCTTTCAATATATTTTATTCTGATGAAATTACAAAAGTAGATACAAAATACTTTTATTTTGAAAAGTACAGTTAACTGACTTAGAAAAATAGATAAAGTTCCAAAAGGTTTAAAAATACAACATAAATTTTTAAGTAAAGAACATTCAAAAATATTTAGGTGGTAACTAAGACTACTTTTGATGTAGGCCAAACAGAATGCTGTTCTACAATCGGTCTATAACACACTGGTAATTCATGTGGAGTTGCAGAATACTTGTTGGAAATAAAATCTGACAAGAAAAAACTCAAGTGAATTTCAATGCTTCAGTAAAATTGTTGCCACATGTATATCCTCCAAAGCCTTTTACAGTCCAGAAATATTAAAACTGAGTATGAAACTAGGAAGATGCCTCTTACTTCCTGTTTGCTGCAATTTTACAACAGTAAAACCAAGTCCAAATCCACTTACTGTCCTGATAGCAGCAGGAAAAAAATGCTCCTGTTGAAGGTGCTCAGTGTTTGGTGTGCAGGCCAGGCCAACATTTTCCTGGCCAGGGTTTCATAGTGGCAGGGGGCAGCCTCAAGGAAGAGGCAGGACATCCCCAGCATCATGCCTGGAGTTGCTTACAGACACACTTCTAAGGCTTACAACTCTTTGGGCCTGACGTGATTATGCTTCTAAGGTAATGTGTTTAAGAAGTTCTTCTGCTAGTATAACTTCATTGTTCAGAATGAAGCCAATAGTATAAACAGGAACCCTTAAGTTTGCAAGAAGTTGCCCTTGTGTCTGCACTACAGAAACTCTGCTTTTGTTATCAGTCATGGAGAAGATAGATCTGCATTTCTCCAGTAAGTAGCTGTCTGAACTAGTGCTCTTGAAGTCTAAGATAGAATGAATACCTTATTAACTGGAGCCTTTAGTCACTTTATTCACAATGTGAAGGAGAATAAATGATATATTTGGCTGTCAATGTAAAAACCATAGTACAAGAGTGTATTTTTTAAATCTATATATACTGTCCAAGTTTTTCTTAAAGGCCTGAAAATTAAAGCACCACAGGATTAACTTCATAATTTAGTGAGCACTTCCCACCCACTGATTGTATGACAAGATGAGATGCTGAGAGGAGATGATTTCTTAGCAGAGTAAAGGGAAGGAAGTGTTGCAGAATAGGCAGACCCTGGGTATGGGCAAATAAAGATAATGATTCCTTCAAATAATTATCCAAGAGTGACTCAGCAAGGTGCTATCCTTTTCCCACACTCTTCCCTTCCTCCACTTCTCCTCCTACCCTCCCCAAATAAGCAAATACATTATTAGGTACATTGTTGTTTAAGCCAGACTGGTTTGAGAAGCTGTTTTCATTTTTTAAATGTTTTCATTAAAAAAAAAAGAAAAAATTCATAGATTGGAAATATGTTTGGAGGAGCAAAATGAAGAAAAATGGAAGGAAGAAGAGTGAGCAAATACAGTCATTGTATTCAATGTGCATTATGTTAAAAAAAAAAAAAAAGAACTGTGTAACTTGTGGGTAGGGACAGAAGAAGGAAAAATGGGGAAGAACTAAGGGAAGAGGTGACAATACTCAAGAAGCATTATATTCAACCTGACTCATGGAACTGTAACCCCTTGGTACAACTACTTAATAACAATAAAAAGCAAAAGAAAAAAGAAAACAAAGACTACAGTAAACTTCCAATTATCAGCAAACTTTTGACTTCTACTCTAATAATAAGCTACTTGTACTATTGTCCTAGCATGTAACCATCTTTGGTTCATGTTGGGGCCTAGTCATGAAGATAGAGAGGATCTCTATCATTGAAAACAGATAGAAACGAGAGCCTCTTTAATTGAAAATATTTGAATTAGGGATGACAGTACAACCATTATTGAAAAATTTCATTCCTTGAGAACTTAAAAATGAAAGGCTATGAAGTCATTATATTCTAGGTGGTGGCTTAGGAACCTGCTTTCCTGTTTGCAAATGATCAACATAATTGTGCAGAACAGCTGACATTTAGACCTTTAGATAAACATAAATGTGGACTGGAATATATCATAAAATGTGGATGGATGGGTGTCCTCTTCTCTAGCTAAGTGATGGACTCACTTTTAAATTCAAGCAGTGATGCAAGGTTTTTAGCCTAAATTAGATGAAATAGTTCTTTCACAATTCTATGCATATTTAGAAACTTTCTGAAAATGGGGTTTCTACACAATTCTTTGTAGTCTATTGGAATAAATAACAAAAAAGCCTTATCAAATCTAACCTTTATCAGAGAAAAATGGTGAGTGCTTTGCAAAAATCATAGTTCACAAAACTCAAGTTTTGCCAGTCTGGCAGGTCTTCAAGGAAATCTATGCCTGGTATATTTCAAACATGAAAAACAGGCAAGTCTTCACTGAAAGGGAAGATTCTTTTATCCAATACAAAGAATTTCAAGTTTTGATGCATTATTTAGAACAGGTTAAAACCCCTATGTAGGCTCAATCCATCCTATTAATGGAATTAAGATTTAAAATTTACTTCTCCCATTTTGTCTCCTTTTAAATTCTTTCCCTCTCTCTCTTCCCCATCTCTCCCTCTCCCCACCCCCACAAATTGATAGGAAATCTATTACAATATACCCTTAAAGGTTTTTTTAAAAAATTGTAATCTTGTTCTTATTGGTGTAAAATCAGTGCATTCCTACACTACTCATACAAACTGTCAAGTCATAGTAAAAAAAAACAAAAATAAAAAAACTTTCTTTAAGAAATAAAATAATGAAGTACTAAATACTAAATTCACTCTCTTATTCAGAATTGCAAGGCTTATGAATAACAATATGAACATAAGTAGTGGTTTGAAGATCTAAGTCTGTCACAATTTTTTTGTTTTCCTTTTCTTAGCCAAAGCAACATTAATTTGAATAAAGTATTTAAAAATTAAAACTTGTAAGACTATCCTTAGAAGTCACAGAAAAATTATTTGGTACACTCCTAATTATTTAGATGTGAATACAATTCCAAATAAAGATTAGAATTATGTCACTGAAAAATAACTCTGTCAATCCCATTCATATATGCCATATCATTTAACCAGAATCAAAGATTTTGAAAAATATACATTTTTTTTCTTTTTTGAGGCAAGGTCTTACTAAGTTGCCCAGGTTAGCCTTGAACTTGTGATCTTGCTTCAGCCTCCCAAAAACTGGGATTACAGGTGTACTCCACCTTGCCTAGCTGAAAAATGGTATATTGTTATCTATAAAAACATCAGCATACAAACTTGAAATTAAAATGCTATCTAAAGTGACACAGAAATTCTAAATGATAAGGAAGAGAATAAAACTGATTTGACTGTTAAGAAATTTGTTTAGGAAACTTATTAATAAATTATTGCTAAAAATTCTTAATATCCATTATACTGTCACCAGAAATAGATCCAATTACTTTCTTCAGTGAAAGAATAAGTCAACAGGTTATTTGTCACAACCAAGAATGACAGTAACAAGAGTGGTCACACAGTCCTCGGTCTGGGCTGTGTCAAGGTCTCACTCTGAAGCTATCAGGGCACCCTCTCTCTTTAGGACAATTTTATCTGTAACACAGATAATGGGTGTCTTTTTCTGTTTTCTTAAAGTTTGTATCACTAGTCTATACAAGATAGCAATGAGAAAGATCTAGCAGGAGATGAAGCAAGAAGGAAATTGTGTTCTAGAAGAAACATTTATCTGTCTTTCGATCCAAGCTTCTCAATTAATTCCTGAAGAGGTGCCAGCTCACGCCTGTCAATCAGATTAAACTCCTAAAAAGAGAAGAGCAATAAAAGTTTACAATGGACCGAAATTAAGATTCTTTATTGGTACCATGAGGGGCTAACTTCAGAGCCTCATACTTGCATTTTACCACTTCAGCTTTATCCCAGTGGATGTTTACATGTTTTTATTTGTTTGGGGTTTTTCTGGTGATGTTTTTCTTTGTTGGTCATGGGGCTTGAACTCTGGGCCTGGGCACTGTCCCTGAGCTTTTCAGCTCAAGGTGAGCCCTCTACCACTTGAGCCACAGCACCATTTCTGGTCTTCTGGTAGTTTATTGGAGATAAGAGTCTCAAGGACTTTCTTGCCCAGGCTGGCTTTGAACTGTGATCCTCAGATCTCAGCCTCCTGAGTAGCTAGGATTACATGTGTGAGCCACTGATGCCCGGCCTTTACATGTTTTTTAGAGAAGGGGTTTAATAAATCCAAAAGAAAATATTTAAAAACAGAATTGTTTTTACTCCTTCTTAAAACATGGGTATGACTTTGTGGTACCCACTGGTTTTCCTCCCTGTTTCCTTTCCGCTCCTGTTAGAAACATTGGATCCTCTAAACTAGCATGTCTTTTGTATGCTAATGGTATAGCTGGTGGCTGTGAGAGCATCAGCTGGTCACCAGAACCAAAACACATGAGTATTACAGCACCAGATTCTCATTCTCTCTCATTCTCTCTCTGGAGAGAAGTGAGATTGAGGAGTAAGTTATTCACCAATGGTCACTGTTATCAGTAATTAAGTCCCCTTAAAAACACCCAAAGGACAGAGCTTCTGAACAGCTCAACAACGTATTTTTTGTTATTAACAATAAATTGACTTTTATTTTATAACTACATTCTAAGGGTATCTTCTATATAAAAGGTATAATTCCATCTGTTGAAAATTTCTACATGTCAACAATGTAGTTCTGAAAGGACACATGTTCCTTCTCCCATACCTTGCCTGTGAAGCTCTACTACCTGGCTGCTTGACTGTATCCTCTGTAAAACTTTCTAATAAATCAGTAAACAGGTTTCCTTGAGTTTTGTAAGCCATTCTAACCAATTAATCCAACTCAAGGAGAGTCTCCAGGGAACCTTGATATGTGGATCTATCAGAAGTACTAGCAAAAATCCATTACTTTTTTTGTGTGTGCCAGTACTGGGGCTTGAACTTAGAGCCTCAGAGTCTTAGCTCTTTTGCTCAAAACTGGTATTCTACTACTTGAGCCACAGTCATTTCTGGATTTTTGTTGGTTAATTGTAGAGAAGAGTCTCATAGACTTTCCTGCCCAGCCTGGTTTCAAACCACCACCCTCAGATCTCAGCCTCCCAAGAAGCTATGATTAGAGGTGTGAGCACCGGCTGCCCAACTAAATCCATTACTTTTGACCGGCATCTGAAGTGGGTAGCAGACTTGTGGGAATGAACTCCCAACCATAGGATGGATATACCTACAGATAACTTCAGATGAATTAGATCAGGGGACTGGGAGCAGAGAAGCTGTAAACAATCAGTCACTTGCTTGTTGTTGCATTTGTGTGTGTCTATGGGAAGAGTGTCCTATGTTTGGTCACAAAGTGCTCTGTGTTATCAGAATATAGCAGGAGAAACTGAGTTTTCCCCATATTCTTGTAACAGGAGAGTTCAATATGCAACTATAGGTATTAGAATGAGTACATGTTAAATACTAAAATTAAACATTGTTTAAACCAACACTTATCAAAATCAATATTTGAATTTATCCCAAAACTATAAACTAAACCTTTGATCCTGGCCAACTCTTAGTTAAACTGTGTACTTTTAAACACACACACACACACACACACACACACACATATACACACACACACACACGTTTTCCTTTGTGCTCTACACAGAGCTATAATATATAGAATCTACAAAAAGCAACCATTTTCTACCATTAAATTCTATATACACAATCTAGAGACAATATTTTGTGTATAGAATTACAGAGCTCCAAAGTTAATCTAAAGGAACCCCGATTCTTTGCTTTTTTTTTTTTTTTGACAGTTTTGCTATAGTCAGTGCTAGTCTCAAACTTGCAATCCTCTTGCCTCCCAAATACTGAGATTACAGACATGTACCACCATGTCCAGCTAATTCCTTGATGTAAGAAAAAGCAATCTTTTCCATCAAATCAAAATTTCTCCATCTTGTAACCAGTCACCACTCTGTACTGATATTTCCTAGTACTGATATTTCCTGGAATTATCTGCTTCTTGACTTCAACTGTAACTACCAGTTGTGTTATTTGTAACCAGCTAGTCATGACAAGAATATGAGTCCTTACCAATGTAGTTAAAAGAAGAACCCCCACTCTTGACTTTTACCAATCTCTTCCAGTTATAACTATCAGCTACCCTTCTTCCAGCCAGGTGTGAAGTGACTAGACAGACCCCCTTTGAGTGGTTAGAGTACTACCTCCCTTGTATTACACCATTATCCTAGTAAACAATTGTGAATTGAAATGTGAGTCTGACTCCTTAGCAACAAAGAGAGGGGATAATGTTACCTCTTGGTATGGGATAAAAAACAAGCAGACCACCCCACCCAGTGTGCCTGCCTAACTCTGGGGAGAGTGGCAGTACCCCTCTGTGCAGAAGGAAAATGCCTTGACAAATGTGTCTATACACTTTCTGACACAAGAGAATCCATGTTTCCAACAATATCTCATCCAAATGGTGTGAATTATTGTGATTTTTAAAATCTCTAGTTCTAAGTGCTCATAAGGCAACAGGTCACATCACTAAACACATCCTCATCAGAGACTTGGGGAGCCAGAAGTAGAAGAGCTCAAACAAGGATGATGCATTTCATGCTGCTGTAGTACACACAAATGAACCAGTATGGAAAAAAAAAAAGAATCATGCTTGTACTTAGCTGCTCTCCATCTATAATAAGGTACAATGCTATGTTTTGGGTTGTTTCTTTCTGGTCAGTTGTGGGGCTTAAATTCAGGGCCTTTGTGCTCAAGGCTAGCACTTTAAGTCACAGCCTTACTTTTGGTTTTCTGGCAGTTAACTGGAGATAAGAGGCTCAAGGACTCTCCTGCCTGGGCTGGCTTTAAACAGAGACTCTCAGATCTCAGGCTCCTGAGTAACTAGGATTACAGGTGAGACACACAGGTGCCAAACTACACTCACTGGTCTTTATTAAGGTTACTAATCCAAATAAGTCTAAGTCAGAGGACCCAGAAATCAACACAGCTCACTTACCTGAACAAAGAAAATAAAGTGCTTAAAGGAGGTGTTGAGGTGGGCCTCCTCTTGCAGCTGCATCACTGAATCAAAGTGCTGGTGATAAATATGGGCATAAACCCTGAACAGACGTTTCAGAATGGTCTTTGCCACAGACATAAAGTTTTTGGGAAATGGGACACCTGCAATCAAATACACATATGTTGCGGTTAGTCTTTTACCTAACTATATGGTAGCAAGGCTTGATAGAGCTGTGAGCAACTGTATCACATAAACACACATACATACACACATACACCCTCACTAATACACACAGCTATTTCTATACAGTAGGCTAAGCATCAAATGATGTATGATGCCCAAAGTTTAAACAAAATTTTAGTTGAAATTTTGAGTTTTTCCCTGAGTAAATGCAACAAGAATAAGCATTTCAAATGTAAATAGAGCATTAATTACTGTTGTAACTTGTAGTTCTATAAAATTACACATAGATACATGTGTACATGCACACATACTCAATTAGGACTAGAAACTCTCCTAAGCAAAGAGAGAGATAGCATCATCTACATGTAAAGTATTTTATCTTCTAAATTTCTCACTTTCCTGTAGCCTGGAAAAGGAGTATCCTTAGAGGAGGAAGACCTCCCTATTTTTTCAAAGAAAAAAGACATATACCAATGGATCACGCATGTAATCCTAACTAATCAGAAGTCTAAGATCTGAAAATAGCTGTATGAAGACAACTAGGGCAGGAAAGTCCATGAGACTCTAATCTCCAATTAACCACCAAAGAACCAGAAGTAGAGTTGTGGCTCAAGTGGTAGTGTTCTAGCCTTGAGTGAAAAAGCTAAGGGAGAATGCCCAGGCTCTGAGTTCAAGCCCCAGTAGCAAAAAACACACATACACACATCCATGTACAGTCACTGTTTCAAGAAAATACTGAAAATAGGCACATGTAATGAAAGAAAGAAAATAAACACCTCTTTTTGTCTTTTTGATTATTTGAGTTCAGGCCTCGAACACTAGGATGATATTTGCTTCCAGAACAACCCAAATTAGTTAGCCTTAAACTAACTAACAAAACGCTGGAAATAGAGCTGTGGCTCAAGTGATAGAGCACCAGCTGTAAGAAAAAAGGGACAATACTCAGACTGAGTTCAAGTCCCAGGACCAGCCAAGGAAAAAAACAAAACCCCAACCAACTGTTCCAGGTTGGGCATTGGTGGCTCACCCCTACAGTCCTAGGTACTCAGGAGGCTGAGATCTGAGGACTGTGGTTTGAAGCCAACCTGGTCAGGAAGGTCAATGAGACTCTTACCTCAAATTAACCATCAAGAAGTCAGAAGTGGGGCTGGGAATATAGTTTAGTGGTAGAGTGCTTGCCTAGTATACATGAAGCCCTGGGTTCGATTCCTCAGTACCACATAAACAGAAAAAGCTGGAAGTAGTGCTGTGGCTAGTCTTAAGCAAAAGAAGCTCAGGGACAGTGTCCAGGCCCTGAGTTCAAGCACCAGGACTGGCAAACACACACACACACCACCACCACCACCACCACCACCACCACCCCACCCTGTGGTTCAAGTGGTAAGCATCAAGCCTAGAGTAAAAAAGTTCAAGGACAGCACCCAGGCCTTAATTTAAGCCCCTGGAGCTGCACACTTGCACATGCACGGGTACGCATACACACAACTATTCCACAATACTATTTTTGAGAAATGTGCTTTTCAAATTTTCAGAAAACAAAGTCATTAAAAATGCACTTGCTGTGCATTTTATTTTGTTTTTTTTTTTTTTTCTTTAGGTAGTTCTTAACAGCTTGACAGTTACCCTTTTTTTTTTTGGCCAGGGCCTCACACTTGGTAGGCAGGCATTCTGCTACTTGAGCCATACCCTTGATCCTTTTGGGCTTTCCTTTTTAATAGGGTCCCATGCTATGTCCAGGTCCAGCCCTGGATTGTGATCCTCCTCCATAAGCTCTCACATAGCTGGGATGACAGAAACTTGCTACCACACCTGGCTTGCTGATCTGAGTGAGGGTCTTGCTAACTTTTTGCTCTAGCTGGCCTTGAGAAAAAAAAGGGAAGATAAGAATAACTGAAGAATGGCATTTTGTTCTTGGTTAAGAAGACAGTATTGTAAAGAGAAAAAGAATTTCTACATTTATCAACAAAAAACTGGATACAATCGTAATTAAAATTACAATTTTTTTACCTTGAGAAATTGATTCTAAGTTTTTTTGAAGAACAAATATGCCATAAATAGTTATGAATATCCTGAAAAAGAAGAGAAGGAAGGAAAGACTAACCCTATAGGATGAATTAAAACTGTGGAATTGGGCTGGGAAGGTGGCTCAGTGGTGGAGTGCTTGCCTTGAATGCATGAGGCCCTGGGTTTGATTCTTCAGCACCACATAAGCAGAAAAAGCCAGAAGTGTGTTGTGGCTCAAGTGGTAGAGTGCTAGCCTTGAGCTGAAAAACAGGGACAGCGCCCAGGCCCAGAGTTCAGGCCCCATGACCAACCAAAAAAAACCCAAAAAAACAAAAAAACCCAAAACTGTGGAATTTCTATAGGAACAAATAAAGAGAAAAGGAAACCTTAAAACATATGTTACTGTACACATCCAATAACACACAGACCAACTTGCTGCTTTAAATCTGGAAAGAATGATGTCAGTATTCAGAAATAAAACTCCTGACAAAGCAAAGACTTAAATGAAAAAAACCAAAAGCATGAAAGTATTGGATATTCCCATAATCTGACAACTATATTAAACCTCAAGTTATAGGCTGGAGATATAGCTCATTGGTAGAGCATTTATTTAGCATACGTTCATAATGACCTCGGTTCACTCTCCAGCACCACAGAATAAACAAAATAACCCGTCTTAAAGGAAATGACTAATAGGACAAAATAGAGATGTATATAGAAAAGTGCCCCATGAACAAAATAAAACCAAAGGCAACATGGAGAAAAATACACATGACATGTGTAACAAAGAGATAGTATCTTTAACAAAAAAATAGACAAAGAATATAACAAAGACTCAAATTATCAATAAAACAAAAAATGGTCAAATACATTAGGCTTACACCTGTAATCCTAGGTTGAGATACAGAGGTTTGAGGTTGAGAACCAGAGGATTGCAATATGAGACCAGCCTGAATGGAAAAGTCCATGAGATTCTATCTCAAATATAAATAGGAAAAAGGCATACTTGAGATGTGGGGCCAAGCCAAGCAAGCCAACTGAATATGAAGATTCAAAGTTCAAACCTCCATACCAGAAAAAAAAATCATATACATTAATATATATATATTATTTATTTATTTATTTATTTATTTATTGTCCAGTCGTGGGGCCTGAACTCTGGGCCTGAGCACTGTCCCTCAGCTCTTCAGCTCAAGGCTAGCACTCTACCACTTGAGCCATAGTGCCACTTCCGGCTTTTTTGTTTTTGCTTATGTGGTGCCAAGGAATCGAACCCAGGGCCTCAGGCATGCAAGACAAGCACTCTACCACTGAGCCACCTTCCCAGCCCACATTAATATTTTTAAGATGTGCATTCAAACAAAAATTTATCTATGGGCTAGGAATGTGGTTTAGTGGTAGGTTGCTTGCCCAGCATGCATGAAACCTTGGGTTTGATTCCTCAGTACCACATAATCAGAAAAAGCTAGAAGTGGCACTGTGGCTCAAGTGGTAGAGCGCTAGCCTTGAGCACAGAGAGGTTCAGGGACAGCACCCATGCCCTGAGTTCAAGAACCTAGCCTGGCAAAAAAAAAAAAAATTATCTAGGCAAATTGGAAAAGATCAAACAGCGAATGAACAGTGTGATGAAGAAACAGGAAGACACAAACAAGGTGGGTTAGGTATATATTGGTAAAGTTTTTGGGGGAAAGAGTATATTAATCTCTATTAAATTATTTAAAGGATATTAAAATATTACGTTTCATTCAGAATAGTTCTATAATATTAACTTACCAATCTTAGAAGGAAAAAGAGTTTCATCATCAAGCTGATCCTGAACCCAAGTCATTAAATAGTCAATGTATTTTGGTGCAGAACACTTGATTGGCTTCTTAATATTAGTTCCATCTGCCCAATGATATTCATATCTGGAGGAAAAATATGTTAGAGACAGTTCTCAAAAACCTTCACAACTTAGAACTTGTAATGAGAACAGGTTCATATATAACTCTGCTCTTTTTTTGTTTCCTTGTTTTTTTTTGTTGGTGGTGGTGGGTTTCTTTTTTGTTTTTCCTTTGGTGCTCATATTGGGGCTTGAAATCAGGGTCTGTTTGCTTTTACTTGGCTTTGGCTGGTGTTCTACCACTTGAACTACAACTCTACTTCCAGATTTTGCTGGTTAGCTGGAGATAAGATCTGACTTTTTTGCCACCTTTGAAACTTCAATCCTCAGATCTCAGCCTTCTGAGTAGGATTACTTTCATTAGTAATATATTAGTACAAGAAAAATAATGAAATACTAAAAAGCCAATATAAATTCATTAAATAATAATAATAATAATAAAATAATAATAATAACAATAATTTTTCAAAAAAAAAATCCAGGTGCCAGTGGATCATGCCTATAGTTCTAGTTACTCAGGAGGCTAAGATCTGAGGATTGTAGTTCAAAGCCAGCCCAGGCAGGAAAGTCCGTGAGACATTTATCTCCAACAAACCCCCAGAAAACCAGAAGTGGCACTGTGGCTCAAGTGGTAGAGTGCTAGCCCTGAGCTGAAGAGCTGAGGGACAGCGCCCAGGCCCAGAATTCAAGCCCCATGACTGACAAAAAAGAAATGTACTCATTACCTGTCTTCTGAAATAGTAGCCCCTCTGTACATCACCTTTATAATAACAATATAATGGGATTTTTAAAATCAAACACTGAGTACTCATAAACATAGGTACTTAATAGTAACTGCTAACGGCAAGTATTTAAGATTAAATGAATTGTCTTTATATAAACCAAGGGACAATAAAAGTTGTCTTTAACATATTATTTAACATATCAGTTAGTGATAAAGCAAAAGTAATCCCCTATGTAACAAGCTGTACACATACCTGGGACCTGCAGACATGACTGGACAGCTGGCTTCAGTACAGAATTCTGTAATAGTTCCATATAACATATTGATCTGGTTGAAGAAATCCACAGCTGCAGAGATGACAGAAACATTGTATTATATATATATTTTTTTGGGGGGGGTGGTTATTATGGGGCTTAAACTCAAGGCCTGGGCACTGTCCCTGAGTATTTTTGCTCAAGGCTAGTGCTCTACCACTTTGAGCCATAGCTCCTTTTCAGGTTTTCTGGTAGTTAATTGGAGATAAGAGTCTCATGGACTTTCCACACAGGCTGGCTTCAAACTGTGATCCTCAAATCTTAGTCTCCTGAAAAGCCAGGATTGCAGGAATGAGCCACCAGTGGCCGGCTTATATTAAATACCTTAAATAATCATATTAAATAGTGAAATTGTATTTTGTTGTGTAAGCCCAACACAAACATCAGACCTCTCAGTTGAAGAAAAGATAGGCAGTATTTTTTTGAGATGAAGTCTTGCTAGGTTTCCCAGGCTCACCTCAGCATCCCAAGTAGCTAGGACTTGTCCAAATAAAAGTTAAACTTACACAAAATTTCTAACCAGCATGTAACAGTAGGAAAAAGAAAATACTGGGGATAATTTTAACTTAATGGTGACTATTGTATCTTTAGAGTGTATCATTTCATTATAAATCAAAATCATTTGATTATAAATCATGTATGAATAAAACACTATATATGAAAAAATTTATCAACTGGAACCAAATAATACCATTGGCTAGGAAAGAGAAAAAAGTGTTATAGATAGTATAAAGGAGAGGTGGACCAGCTGTATCAACATGTAACAAGCAGTCAAAACACCTAGTTCACCTCTTCAATAATTGATGTTAAGAAAACTGGACATCCATGTGTAGAAGACTAAAGCTGGATCCCCGTCTGTCAGCTTACACCAATATCAACTCAAAATGGACCAAAGACCTACCAGACCTGAAACTCTGAAGCTACTACATGATGGAGTAGGAGAAACATTAGAACATACTGGTATAGGCAATATTATAATAATATAAGTGAGGTAAGCCAGGTTCATATGTGGAAGCTAGATCTAATATGCAACTATGCATGATAGCATATCCAGAACTCAATGCATTTACACACAAACAAACTGACTACAGGATGGTATATTTAGAGGAGGTATCTAAATGCGTAATTCCTCTGAACAACCAATGTACTGTTTATCAAAATGTATACCAGGAGGTAAAAGCATGTTCTGGGGACTGGTAAGAGGGGGACCACAGGAAGGAGAGAAGGTGAGTAAATGACAGTAGTCATTATATTCAGCTTTCATTATGTAAAAAAATGAATTATGTAACTCAAGGGCAGGGACAAGAGGAAGAAAATGAAGAAAGGCATGACACTGACCAAGAAGTACTGTACTTACAACCTGACTTGGGGAATCGTAATCCCTTTGCACAACTACTTAATAACAATAACAATATAAAAACACCATCTAGCTGGGCACTGGCAGATCTGCCTATAATCAGGAGGCTGAGATTTGAGGATCACAATTCAAATCCAGTCTGGGTAAGAATGTCCATGAAATGTATTTCCAATTAACCACCAGAAAACCAGAAGTGGAGATGTGGCTCAAAGTGACAGAGCACTAGCCTTGAACAAAAAGAGCTCAGGGACAGTACGCAGGCCCTGAGATCAAACTCTACAGCCTACAAAAAAAAAGGGGGGGGGGAGAGAGGGAGAAAGGAAGAGAGGGAAAGAGAAAAAGAGGGAGAGAAGGAGAGAACAGAGTTATATAAAGTTCAGGAAGGTCAGATCTAAACCCCAAGGTTAAGTATTATGAAGTTCAGAGAAAAGACAAGGTCAGGTAGAGCTGATGTGGTCTGGAAACAGATCCTAGCTTCAGCCATATGTAGAAGAAAACCAAAAAGAAAGGGATGAGTAATAAACCTGACTGAATCAAGTCTAACAAACTCTGTGTACAGAGAACTACATAAACTTGGAAAGATTTTTGGTTTTTTTTTTAATGTGTTCTCAGTCTGAGGAAGTATCTAAAATATTAACTAGGGCTTTTCTATAATTCTTTAAAACAAATTTTTTTTTCCCAAATCTACCTTGTCAAAAAGAATTTTACATAAAACTCCCTCACTTATAAACTTTCCTCTTAGTCATGTTTCCAAGAATGTAACATTTGGGCTGGGAAGGTGGCTCAGTGGTAGAGCTCTTGCCTTGCATGCATGAGGCCCTGGGTTCGATTCCTCAGCACCACGTAAGCAGAAAAAAAAAGTCACCAAGAATGTAACATTTAGCCATGGAGATTCTCTCAAAGTAAAGAGTATGTCGAGGTGGTGGTTCATTTGGTTCAAAGTCACGGTTCTGAAAATGTGATCCAGGTATCCCGTTTCAAGGAGGGAATCTATGAAATAAAATAATTCCAATTGTCCCATTTCACCTTCATTTTCAGGTGGTTTAACTATCAAAACAATATATAAAAATTAACAATAAAGGGGCTGGGAAGGTGGCTCAGTGGTAAAGTGCTTGCCTTGAATGCATGAGGCCCTGGGTTCGATTCCTCAGCACTACATAAGCAGAAAAAGCCAGAAGTGACTCAAGTGGTAGAGCACTAGCCTTGAGCTGAAGAGTTGAAGGACAGTGCCCAGGCCTAGAGTTCAGGCCCCACGACCAACAAAACAAAAAACAAAAAAATTTAACAATAAAAACTTCTTAATTCTAGTAACTCAACTCCTTTTTTTACACTCAGGCTATTTTTGTATCTTGTCCCTTAAATTTCTTTACCTTTCCTTACACAAAAGATAATGTATTATAGCTGAGCACTAGTGGCTCACACTTATAATCCTAGCAATTTAGGAGGCTGAGATCTGAGGCTCACCATTTGAAGCCAATCCTGGTAGTTTAGAAAGTCTGTGAGACTCATCTCCAATTAACCACCAAAAGCTGAAAGTAGAACTAGAGAACTAGCCTTGAGCACAAACCTCCAGGAACAGTGCCCAGGCCATAGGTTCAAGCCCCAGCACCCGCATAAAAAAAAAAAATCAACTAGTCTCAATCAAAACCCCAGTAACTTATTTTGTGGTTTTCAAATACCTGTTGTAAGCCAGTTGCTGGTGGCTCATGCTGTAATCCTAGCTACTTGAAGCTGAGATCTGAGGATTATGCTTCAAAGCCAATCCAGACAGTAAACTCTACGAGACTCTTATCTACAATCAACCACCAGAAAAACAGAGGTGGAAGTGTAGCTCAAGTGGTAGAGTGCTAGTTTTGAGAAAAAGCTCAGAGACAATGCCTAGGCCCTGAGTTCAAGCCCTGAGACTGGCATGTGCATGTCAGTGTATGTATATGCATGTCAATGTACATATGTGCACATGTATACATACACACACACACAAACCCTAATTATAAAGTTCATATCAAAAAGCAAAATACCTGGGCAGCCAGTAATACTGAAGGAGAACAGAGTAGGAGGGCTAACACTACCCAATTTCAAAACCTAAGTACAGAAATCCAGCCAAGGCAGTACTGGAGAAATAACAAAGAGATTAATGGAACAGAATAGAGAACCTTGAACCAGACCTGACAAAGAAACAAAGACAATACAACGTAGAAAAGACAGTCTTTCCAACTAAGTGCTGGAATAACTGAAAATCCACATGCAAACAATGAAACAAGACATACCTTATACCCTTCACAAAAATGCACTCAAAATTGGGCTCTGGGTGTTATTCAAATGTAGAGAGTCTGCCTAACAAGTACAACCTTGAGTTCAAATCCCAGTTCATTTGAAAGCAATTACAGACCTAAATATAAAATAAAAAAATATAGGATTCCTAGATAACGAAGGAAGAATATCTTAGAAGAAAATCTAGGTAACAGTGAGTTTGGCAATGACCTTTGAGATATTACACCAAAGATACATTTTATGTAAGAAATAATTGGTATGGGGCTGGGAAGGTGGCTCAGTGGTAGAGCGCTTGCCTTGCAAGCATGAGGCCCTGGGTTCAATTCCTCAGCACCACATAAGCAAAAAGAAAAAAGCCAGAAGTGGCGCTGTGGCTCAAGTGGTAGAGTGCTAGCCTTGAGCTGAAGAGCTGAAGGACAACACCCAGGCCCAGAGTTCAGGCCCCACGACCGGACCCAAAACAAAAAACAAAATAAAAGGAAAAAAGAAATAATTGGTAGGCTAGATTTCACTGAATTAAAGTTCCTGCTCTGCAGAATATATCATCAAGAGAATAAAAGACAAATAGGACTAGGTGCCAGTAGCTTGTGTCTATAATCTTCCCAACTCAGGAGGCCAGCTCTGAGGATTATCTGAGGACTGTGGTTTGAAACCAGCCTGGGAAGGACACTCAGTGAGACTTTTATCTCCAACAAACTACACCCTGCCAAAAACAAAAACAGAAGTTGTTGCTCAAGTGGTAGAGTACTAGCCTTGAGCAAAGAAGCTCAGAGACAGTGCTCAGACCCTGAGTTCAAGACCCAGGACTGACACACACTCTCTCACATACTCATACACACATTCTCTCTTTCTCACTTCCCCCCCACACACACACACAAAGACACAAATAGGCTAGAAGAAAAATATCGGCAAAAGACATATATAATAAAAGACAGTTATCCAAAAGATACAAAGAACTCTTAAAACTCAAAAAATGAGCCAAAGACCTTAAACCTGACCAAAGATATATAGATGACAAATATATATATGAAAAGATGTTCATCAGGGAGATGCACACTGTGAACAATGGATACCATTACCATCATTTAGAATGGTCCAAGCACTGACAATATCAAACATTGGGCAAGTATGTGTAGCTGCTGGTGGGAATGTAAAAGAGTCCAGCTACTTCGGAAAACTTGAGGTTTCTTATAAATACTCTTACCATCTTTTTCTTTCCTTCTTTTTTTATTGTAAAGATACTTTATAGAGGGGTTACAGTTACATGAGTAAGTTAATGAGTACATTTCCTATCGAGCAAGCATTGTTACCCCTTTGTTTTTTCCCTACCATCTCTCTCCTTGCCACCTCCTCCACTCCTTCCTCCCCGGTCCCCTCCCACACTCCAAAGTTCTTTTTTTTTTTTTTGGGTCCGGTCGTGGGGCCTGAACTCTGGGCCTGGGCGCTATCCCTCAGCTCTTCAACTCAAGGCTAGCGCTCTACCACTTGAGCCATAGCACCACTTCCGGCTTTTTTTCTTTTTGCTTATGTGGTGTTGAGGATTCGAACCCAGGGCCTCAGGCATGCAAGGCAAGTGCTCTATCACTTAGCCACTTTCCCAGCCCCACACTCCAAAGTTCTAAAGTTCATTTTCAACAGAGTGTCTTGTACAGCTCATTGTTACAATGGGTCAACCTGTATACTTGTTTCAGCATTTTGTTATTTCCCTTCCCCTCCTCAAATTAGAAAAATGTATATACAAGATGCAGGGCAAGCCGGGCGCTGGTGGCTCACGCCTGTAATCCTAGCTACTCAGGAGGCTGAGATCTGAGAATCGCGGTTCAAAGCCAGCCCGGGCAGGAGAGACCGTGAGACTCCTATCTCCAATAAACCACCAGAAAACCGGAAGTGGCGCTGTAGCTCAAGTGGTAGAGCGCTCGCCTTGAGCTGAAGAGCTGAGGGACAGCGCCCAGGCCCAGAGTTCAAGCCCCACGACCGACAAAAAAAAAAAAAAAAAAAAGATGCAGGGCACCAGAATCAAATAGAGTGAAAACAGGGGTTGTACCATTACCATACCATCTTGTACTTGTGTCCTTTCATATCTACCCAGAGGAGTGGAAAAATTCAGCCCACCCCAAAACATGCACATGTATGATGGCAGCTGTTTATAACAGCTTGGAATAAAGCAATCATATTTTTCAGTAAGAGAATAAACTCTAATACATCTAGAAACTAGAATGTTCCACATTAAAAATTTATGAGCTATTAAACCACAAAAAGATATGAAGCAAACAAATAAGTATTACATACAAGACCACCCCTAAGCCACAACAAACTACTAAATGCCCACAGAAACAGCTGCCCACAGCTGACTTTTTCTACCTGTGCAGGCCAATGGGGCTGCTGGGAGGTGGGGCAAATCCACAAAGACAGACTTCCTATAAACTCATGTTCCACAGTATAATCTCTGTACTTATCAATCCTTTATTTGATCTGACGGAGCCCTTCAACTTCACAGTACTCTCAGGAACTTTTACATCTCACTCATTATTTCTCCTCAAGTCTATTCTCATCTCACAAGCCACTACCAAGTACTCTGAATAACACAGTTATTGGATGTGTTTGTACTACTGTTTCTTTGCAGATAACTTGTTGTATTACAACAGTTATACTTGTACAAGAAAAGTTATTAATAACAAGATTTTAACAAAATCTTTTATAAACCACTAAGGGTAAATATTGTTAAAAACTTACTGTTAACAGCAATCCACTCATTGAGGTCCTCTCCCTCTGGCAACATAACAGCTTGTCTGAGATTCCCACTTCCTAGAGTCGCTTCAGCATGTTTCAAGAGTTCATACTGATGAGAACCTTCAGGGATATTCTTCTTGGGCTTGAATGTTTTAGAAGAGCGGCTGCTGCTGTTGGGTTGAAAGAAGAAAGTATAAATTTTGAGGACTAAAAGCACAATGACATAATTTGAGGCATATAAATGAAATAAAAAAATACTCCCTGAAATGTGTTAGGATGGAAAAGGGATGATCACAATTAAAGGCTATTTTAGAGTTTGAGGATATGGTTCAGTGGTACAATGTTTGTCTAGTATGCATGAGACTGTGGGTTCCATCCCTATCATCACACATACACAAAAGTTTGCTATTAAATTTCACAAGACAATTTTGTTATACCCCATGAAGACATCTGATATAAGGGACATTCTAATCAATGGGAAAATCCTAGATTCTAGCCCTTGATCTGCCACTAACTCTGTGACTAAGAAACCAAACTTTCTTTTAGCCTCAATTTCTACCTATAAAAAGTGATGGAAGAGCAGGTTCTGGTGGCTCATGCCTATAATCCTAGCCACTCAAGAGGAAGAGTTCTGAGAATCACAGTCCAAAGCTAGCCCAGATGGAAAAATCCAAGAGACTCTATCTCTAATGAACCAGCAAAAAAAGCTAGACTGAAGATATGGCTTCAGTGGTAGCGTGCTAATCACAACAAAACAAAAGCTGAGTGAAAGCCGGGCACTGGTGGCTCACGACTGGAATCCTAGCTACTCAGGAGATTGAGATCTCCTGGTTCAAAGCCAGCCAGGGCAGGAAAGGCCATGAGACTCTTATCTCCAATTAACCACCAGAAAACCATAAGTGACACGTGGCTCAAAGTGGTAGAGTACGAGCCTGAGTGAAAGAGCTCAGGGACAGTGCCCAGGCCCTGAGTTCAAGCCCCATGACCGACAAAAAAAAAAAGAGTTCAAGGCTCTGAGTTCAAACCCCAGCCAGCACAAAAGAAAACAATGAATAAATAATGTAGGTGTTATCCCTAAGGTTTTCAGTTCCATGGTCCAGTTTCCTAAACCAAAATTATTTGAGATGCCATTAAAACAAGTAACAGTAAGATAAACGGTAAAGAAGCACCACAATTTTGAAGTTTTAGCAGAAAAAAATGAGACAGACACAACTGGCTGATGGGTAAAAGCTCTTCTTCCTATCTGTACCATCCACAAGGCCTTCCTAACATCCTAAATCCTGACCTAAATACTGGAGACAAACAAAGGAAAGAAAAGAAGAAAACCTGACTTCACTAGGTGAAGCAATACAAACCTGCATCCCAGCACTAGGGAGGCTGAGGAGTTCAAGGCCAGCTAGACTACTTAGTGAGACTATGTCTACAAACAAACCCAAAATATACTATCAGAGAAAGTTGAATATAATAGGAATAAAAATTAGTTTTCTAAGATAGTTTTTAATAGCAGAAAAAAAACAACACCTGGAAACAATTCTAAAGTTTATCAGTAGAGGAATAAATAAGTAAACCATGTTATAGCTACATCATGGAACACTGTACAATAGTAAAGAAGACAGAAATTCTAAACATGCTAACCTCATTATAAAACCATATTACAACAGAAGCCTATCTCATTAATGCATAGAAAGTATCAGATTAAGGGCTAAACATGCTAAGCTCATTATAAAACCATATTACAACAGAAGCCTATCTCATTAATGCATAGAAAGTATCAGATTAAGGGCTGAGAATGTGGCTTAGTGGTAGAGTGCTTGCCCTGGGTTGGATTCCTCAGTACCACATTAACAGAAAAGGCCAGAAGTAGTGCTGTGGCTCAAGTGGTACAGGCTAGGCTTGAGCAAAAGAAGCTTAGGGACTGTGCCCAGGCCTTGAGTTCAAGCCCCAGGACAGGCAAAAAAAAAAAGGAATAGCCAGGCACTGGTGGCTCATGCCTGTAATCCTAGCTACTCAGGAGACTGAGGTCTGAGGATCACAGTTCAAAGCCAGCCCAGGCAAGGAAAGTCTGTGAGACTCTTATCTCCAATAAACCACCAGAAGACCAAAAGTGGCACTGTGGCTCAAGTGGTAGAGCACTTGCCTTGAGCTAAAGAGCACTTGCCTTGAGCTAAAGAGCTCCGGGACAGAACCCAGGCATAGTTCAAAACCCATGACCAACAACAACAACAAAAGGAAGTATCAGAACAGTACTTGGTGACTACTTCCAAGGTAGAGAGAGAAGGGACCAGAGCTGTGGGCTTTCACCTTATCTGAGGAATTTGAATTTTAAGGAAGAGTGTAAATTATTAAAACAGAATTGTGAGCCAGGCGTAGAGGCTCCAGCCTATAAGCCAAGCTACTTGAGAGACAGAGATTTGAGCATCACAGTTTAATGCCAGCCAGGCATAAAAGTTCTCCAGACTAACTCAAGTTACACCTGTTATTTCAGGGTATGCATAGAGTCTGGACAAAGTGTTCTTATTCCCAGTGGAATTAAAGCCTAGGCTTTTGGGCCATAAAGTGAGACCCTACCTCAAAAATAACCAAGGCAAAAGGGCCTGATTTGGCTTGAAGAGTACTGGAAATTTGCTCCTGTTATTACAATATTTTGGAAAAAAAATCAGATGAGTTAATACAAAAATATTTTAAGAAAAAATATACAGGGGCTGGGAAGGTGGCTCAGTGGTAGAGCACTTGCCTCGCATGCATGAGACCCTGGGTTCGATTCCTCAACACCACATAAGCAAAAAGAAAAAAGCCGGAAGTGGCACTGTGGCTCAACTGGTAGAGCCTTGAGCTGAAGAGCTGAGGGACAGCGCCCAGGCGCAGAGTTCCGGCCCCATGACCGGATCCAAAAAAAGAAAAGAAAAAATACACAAAAACATTTTTATATCTAAGTAAAACACAGAAGTTTACATTTTTTGTTGAGACAGGATGTAGCTTGGGCTAGCACTGAACTGAATATTATTCTGCCACAGCCTCATGAGTCACCATACACACCTTGAATTGTATTTAATGTATATATTCTATATAAATACAAACAATCTAACTGGTTAATATATCCTCAGTAGTAAATAAAACTAAAGACCTAGGGGAAAAAAAGTGAGGGGGCTAGAAGCATGTTCCTAGCAGGCCTGAGCACAGCATCATCTCTCTCTCTCTCTCTCTAACACACACACACACACACACACACAGAATGAAAGAAAACAAGTTGAATGGCAGGAGAATGTGAAATGGTGAAATTATTTCAAGGTTCACTTTCATCTATATCCAAAGTAAGACTTTTGTGCTTCAAATAACATTATCAAGACAATGAAAATGATCCACAAGAAGGAGGAAAATATTTATACATCATAAATACAATGAGACTTGTATCCAAAATATATAAAGAACTCATAACTCAAAAACAAAAAGGTAAGCTGGCACAGGTAGCTCACACCTGTAATGCTGCTACTCAGGAGGCTGAGTTCTGAGGCTCACAGTTCAAAGGCAGTCCAGGCAGGAAAGTCTGTGAGGCTCTTACCTCCAATAAACCACCAGTAAACCAGAAGTGGAGCTGTGGCTCAAGAAGTAGTGAGCTTGCCTTGAGAGCTAAGAGATAGTGCCCAAGCCCAAAATTCAAGACCCATGACTGACAAAAAAAAAAAAGTAGGGCTCTTCAGCTTTTGTTCGCCATTGTGGTTACTGTGCCTTCCAGAGCTTCCCATCATGTCTTCTCACAAGACTTTCAGAATCAAGCGGTTTCTGGCCAAGAAACAAAAGCAAAATCGCCCCATTCCCCAGTGGATTCGGATGAAAACTGGTAACAAAATCAGATACAACTCCAAGAGAAGACACTGGAGAAGAACCAAGCTGGGTCTGTAAGGAATTGCTTCAGATGCCCACATATTTATGCTCTACCATGAACCAGTCAAGTGAAACGTCAATACTGCCTGGACTGACAGTTGGGCATTTTTTAAATTGATTTTTCTTTGGTTATTTTAATAATGGGCACAGTAATAAACATGTAATAAACATTACATTTGAATCATCAAAAAAAAAAAAAAAGGACAACAGGGTAGGAAAACAGGGTGGACATTGAATACAAAATTCACACAAGTATGAGAAAATCAGTGACATCCATTAATTTCTCCAATTAATAGGTGTTAATAAAAAAATCTTAAAAATCAATCCAACTTAAAAGTGGGCAAAAGATTTGAATAACCTTACTCCAAAGAATATGTACAAACAGCAAATAAGCACACAAAACAGAAGCTCAACATTATTAGTCATTAGGGAAGTACAAAACTAAAGCAGGGCATTTCACTTCATACTTAGATGGCTATAATAAAAATGATAAACCAGAATGGCAAGAGTGTGAGCAATTTGGAACCTCCCTATAGTGCAGTGCAAAAATAAAACTGGGAGCAGTTTTACTTTGGAAAAGTTCAACAGTTCCTAAAAAGACTAGCAATTCCATTCCTAGGTCTCTAACCAAGGGAAATGAACACACACATACACACCAAAACCTATATACAAATTATCATAGCAGTATTATTCATAAGAGAAAAAACAATCCACGTCCATCAACAAGACAAAGTTTAAAAGAAATAAAACCTCATAAGTATGTCCAAAGGCAACTATGTGTCCACAAATCAGTAAGTAAACAATCTATGGGGGGGGGGGGGGGGTATATGCAAGTGTGTAATACCAGTCATTAAATCTAAAGGACACAGACTTTTAACACCATAATCATTCTTCAATACCCAGAGGAAAGCAAGTGAGATTTTTTTTCTTTTTCTTTTTCTTTTTTTTGTGGGTCATGGGGCCTGAGAGCTGTCCCTCAGCTCTTCAGCTCAAGGCTAGGGCTCTACCACTTGAGCTACAGCGCTACTTCTGGTTTCCTAGTGGTTTATTGGAGATAAGAGTTTCACGGACTTTCCTGCCTGGGCTGGCTTTGAACCGAGATCCTCAGATCTCAGCCTCCTGAGTAGCTAGGCTTACAGGGGTGAGCCACTAGCACTCGGCTTAGCAGGTGAGATTTTAGTAAAGCTATTTATAATAGCAAAGTACTACAAAGAATCCAAATTTATCACATTAAAGAAATGAGTAGGCTGCTGGTGGCTTATGCCTGTAATCTTAGCTGAGATCTGAGGATGGCAGTTGGAAGTCAACCTAGACTGGAAAGTACATGAAACTCATCTCCAATTAACTACCAAGAAGCAGAAAGTACAGCTGTGGCTCAAGTGGCAGAATGACAGCCTTGAACAAAAGAGCTCAGGGACAGTACCCTGACCTGAGTTCAAACTCCAGAACAGGACAGGACAGGACAGGACAGGGAAAAGGAAAAAGGAAAAAGGGAAAAGGAAAGGAGAAGGAATGAGTAGGCCTAGGCACAATGGTTCCGGCCTGTAACAACTACCCCAGAAGAGATTGGATCAAGGTTTGAGGTCAGCCTGGACAGAAAAGCCATTGAGACCCCATCTCAACAAATAAGCCTGATTACACATCTGAGATTCAGGCTGCGGCAGAGATGTACAGCAGTTGGTGATCTGAGGCCCTTCAAGTACAAGCCACATCCCATCTGCAGAGTAAACTAAAAGAGAGCTAGGGGTCCCGGCTCAGCTGATGGAGCATCTGTCTAGCTAAATACAGTCCTGAGTTCAAAAGCTGTAATATTGGCGGAGGGGGCGGGGGGGGGGGGGGGGAAACAATGGTCGTGAAACACAGTATAATTCAGTAAAATATAATTAAACTGACAAGCAGGTGGATTACATTGCTAACGGAAAGCGTACAGTTGTGCACTCACAACTCACAGTTAAGCAATACGCAAGGTAAAAAGCAACTGAAGAGGAGTGTGATGGTTCTCAGATCTTACAGCGTGCGAAGGTGCGTGTCTCGTTGGGGCCCCGGGATTTATCTCTAAAATGGGATTCCACTAAGGACGACAGTTACAAGGTCACGCAGTCCGTACGTGGGCAGAATGAGAATGGCTCAGAGGGTCTTGGCTGCAAGGCCCTCACACGACACACGATGCATTTTCCAGGGGCAACCTTTTCCCTCGAGGGTAATTTAACGACGTTCATGAAACCCGACAGACGGTGGGAGAAAAGAAAAGCTAAAGCAGCCCGGATCCTTACCGGGCTGGAGACCATCCAGAGAAGATCGGGACCTGGGCGAACGCGGGAGCCGGCGGCGGGGCCGGGCGCTCGGTCCGCCCCCCGTCTCTCCGCCCTCTGGGGCGCTGGGGCGGAAAAGTTTGGAGGCGCTGCCGGCCTCGGGGCTTTTCGGCTCCCCAACCTCCTGGCTCCGCTTCCTCGGCTTCCCCCGCACCCGCCGGCCTCCCGTGGGGCCCCGAGCCGGGCAGAGCCGACGCCGGACGCCGGCCCCGGGGTCTCCCCACCCTCCGCCCCGGGCCCCCCCAGCCCCCGCTCGGCCTCACTCACAAGAGGAAGCTCATCTTCGGTGCTCAGGGCAGGGGACGGGGCGCTGGCCCCCGGCCCCTGGTCAGGACTCGGCACCCGAGCGGGAACCGAGAGGCGGAGGACCGTCCTCAGCTCGCGGAGAGCAGAACAGCAGGGCGGCCCGGCCTGAGCCGGGGTTCGAGTCGCGGCAAGCGGGGACACACCTCAGCGTCCACCTCGTCCGCCTCCCCCCCGCCACTCCGCGGACCCGAAATACGGAACCAGCAAAATCTCGCGAGCCGTGGCTTCGTCCCGCCTCGCCCCGCAGACAGCGGCTTGGCACGCCCCTTTTCGTCCCGCCCTCCTTTGGAGATTAGCCAATCGGCGCTCCTTTGGAGATTAGCCAATCGGCGCTCTGTGGGCCGTACCTTTCCTCTCCCGGAGCCCGGGGAGGGGAGGGCCGAGGTCCTCCCGAAGCCTGAAGCTAGCTGGTATCCAGTCCCCTCCTCCTGGAGGGCCGAGGGTCTTCTCTGACCGCTCACTACTGCGATTTAAAAATGTTTAATTTAATTTAATTCAATAGGGATGTTTTTACATAGCAGGAAAGTCTCTTTTTCAAATGTATGCTCCAGGGTTTTGTGTATGCATTCACAGAGTTGTGCAAACATACTCACCGTTTTATTCTAGAACATTTCCGTCCCCTCTCCCATAGCTGTCCCTTTTCTCTCAGATCCTACCCTAGCTCCTGGCTACCCCCACTATGAACTTGCTAGTACGGGTACAGGTTTTCGCGTGGATGAACATACATTAACACAGGACACAAAGAAGAAAACAAGGGGAATGGTGGGAAAGTTGAGTCACAGCTCGGCAAATGGGGGTGCGGGACGCCTACTGTAAAGAAGACCTTGCCCTGAATCTGTCACCGTGGGATTTATGAGTTTATTTCACTCAAACATCACTTGTCATATTAAGTTAATGATGCTAATTTATGTTCATGCACGTGTGTGCGGGGCCGTGCGTGCGTGTGTGTGTGTGTGTGTGTGTGTACAGGAGTGTGTGCTAGTGCTAGGGTTTACATTCAGGGCCTGGGCACCATCCCTGAGCTATTTTGATCAACGGCAGCGTTTTATCACTTGAAACACAGCTCCACTCCTGATTAGACCTTCCTGCCTGGGCTGGTTTCCTCAGACCTCAGCCTCCTGAGTAGCTAGGATTACAGGGATGAGCCATCTGTGACCAGCTTTGAGGTTCTTTTTTTTTCTTTTCTTAACTTTAGTAACCTCATTAGTTTCAGTTGTAGCTAGTTTGAAACATGAGCTTTGTTACAGTCATATAAAAGGTATAAATATAAGGACAGACAAATACTTTTAAAATAACTTATACTAGTTAAATAGTATAAAATTTGTGAGAATTTTAAACATTGAAGGTTTTTCCTCTTTAATGGGGTGTTGTATAAGTTGGAGAATTACTAAATATATGGAAGATCTGCTATTAGAAAATATTTTCAGTATATTTAGATTTGGGGATAAAGGGAGGAAGCCTTAGGCATTAGGGAAAAATCTCTGGTTAAAATTTGGCCGGGATATTAATGTAGTCCATTTAGAGATTAAAGGTAAAATTTCTTTTTTTTTTTTTTAAATTTTATTTTATTTTATTTGAGAACATACTGTACAGAGGGGTTACAATTACATGGGCAGGATAATGCATACATTTCTTACCAAGCATTGCAGCCTCCTCCTTTGTTTACCCTTCACCTCCTTTCCCAGCCTCCCCCCTCCCTCCCACCCAATCATACCCCCCCACTCCCCCCCCACCGACATTGTAAAGCTGGTTTTGACATGACATTTTGTACTTCTCATTGTTGCAACAGGTCCACCTGAATCCTTAAACGACTTGTTTGTCCCCATCTCCTCCACATGTTATACTGACATCAAATATAGTGAAAGCGGGGGTTACACTGTGGGGGAGGGACATACAAAGCAACAAAGAAATAATCTTATAAATGCGTTAGAAATACATGCATGAAAGAAACAAAAACATTAAAATACATATTTGAGGGTTCGTTTTCCTAACATCACATTCTCTGACTTTTTCCGCTTGACTCATACCTATACTAGATATTGCAAATAAGGGAAACCATGGGACCTATGTTTCTTTGGACCTGGCTTACTTCACTTAATATAATTTTTTCCAAGCCTTTCCATTTCCTAACAAATGGGGAAATGTCATTCTTTCTGATGGAGGCATAGAATTCCATTGTGTATATATACCACATCTTCTTGATCCATTCATCTACTGAGGGGCATCTGGGTTGGTTAAAGGTAAAATTTCTTAAGCGAAGTAGGGGAGAAAATTACAAATTGCTCATTGCTGCAGGGTAACTTGTTCCCCATGAGACAGGGTCAACACCAAAACTGGGAAAGTTTCATTCCTTCCTTGGCTCAGTGGGACAGTGAGATCACTGTACACCATCTGTTCACAGCAGATACCAAAAGCAGAAGCTGAGCAGCCAATTACAAAGGAACAGGTCTCACCTCTTTGAAGCCTCTATCCACCCCACCCCATCACACCCACATCCCACCTTCCTTCATCACACTGTTCCCTTCTCTCCCACTTGGAGAAGATTTGCAGCCTCTCTTTAACAGCCTTGTTCCTTTGTTTGTAAAACTCCATCTTTACCCTAATAACCTCCCTCCACTTTTGTAACTTACAGTAAGATTCCTCTCCCAGGTAGTTGGTACTCTCAGGGACTTTTAGCCTCAGTCACGGGCAGATGAAAAAGAGACAGTGAAGTTGCTAAGCTGTCCCTGCCCATTATCTTAGGACTAAGGTTGCAGACAGTGAAAGAGAAACCTCAATTTATCAGACACCAAAAACCATTCAAGCAAAGAAAGCCATATGAAGTTTCCCTTCCAAAAATGTCTTAAGCCCAAGATCAGACCTCTGTATTTGCCATATACATTGGTGAACACATTCCATGGCCTCTGCCCTCTTTAGTGTTTAAATTCAGTTGGAGAAGATAGATCTTAATCAAATAAGTGAAACCACTAGATAATATGTATTCTAAATGGTGATAATTGCATAGAATGCAATTGCATAGAATGCAATTATGAATATTAAGACGCCAGGCACTTGTGGCCTGTAATTCTAGCTACTCGGGAGGTTGAGATCTGAGAACTTTTAGAAGCCAACACAGGCAGAACAGACTGCCAAAAAGCAGGAAGTAGATGTGGCTCCAGAGGTAGATCACCAGCATTAACAGACTGTGACAAAAGAGATATTAGACTGGGCACCGGTGGCTCATGCCTATAATCCTAGCTACTCAGGAGGCTGAGTTATGAGGATCGAGGTTCAAAGCCAGCCAGGGCAGGAAAGTCCGTGAGACTCTTATCTTCAATAAACCACTAGAAAACCAGAAGTGGTGCTGTGGTTCAAGAGGTAGAGTGCTCGCCTTGAGCTGAAGAGCATAGGGACAGCACCCAAGCCCAGAGTTCAAGCTCCACAACCGAGAGAGAGACAGAGACAGAGACAGAGACAGAGAGAGAGAGAGAGAGAGAGAGAGAGAGAGAGAGAGAGATTAGAACATTTCTATGTCACTTAAGATGGCCTTGAGTCCCAGATGATGAATTAGCCAAATGAAAAAGATCTCTCAGAATCAACCATCTGTGCAAAGACTGAAGAAAGCACACAAGTTTCTTACTATCAAGAAACTGAAAGAAGACCGTGTGATGAGAATGTGACAAGTCAGGGGGAAAATACAGAACACGAAACCTGTCACCAAGACTCTCAGCCTATTCAAAACAAGGTGCCCAAGCATTGAAAGGGTTCCAGAAGTCTGACACTATCTACTCCTTAAAATGATGAAGCAGTAAGGAGGTTAAGCTTATTGTATTTGTCTGGGTAGGAGACAGAGTAGGTCAGAAAAGGTCAATGAAGAGAGAGGTAGGTGAAATTAAGAACTATTTTGGAGAGAAGGTTAAATAAGCTCCAATGAAGAGCTGGAGGTGGAGGCCTAGAGGCCAGGTTTGTAAAACTTCTGGCCTGAGAGTGCAGCTTTGAGGCATGAGTGGCTATGGAATAGAAAGAGGAACACAACCAAACAGCATATAGGACAAAATGTGTTCTGAGGGTGGAAGAGCAAAGGAAATAGCAGAAAAATTGATTTATGGTTGGGGTCAGGAAAGCATGAGCACCTCACCCCCACAGAATCTGGTCCAATGATTGGGCTGTAAGTCTTTTTGTTAAACAAGTGATATTTCAGTATAGTATTACAAGGAGTATATGTGAAGCATATGAAAAATCTATAATTAAGTTGGGGGTGTACAGTGGTAGAGTGCTTGCCTCACATTCAATATGCAAATCTATAATAATATTCACAAATAGTTGTACTCTTACACATTTTGGGAAAAAGAGAATTTCCAAACATTTGCAGGGAAGTAAGACGATTAGGGTTTTTTTTTTTTTTTTTTTTTTATTTTATTTTTTTATTGTAAAGCTACTATACAGAGGGTCACAGTTACATGAGTGAGGTTATGAGTACACTTCCTCTTGAACATTGTTACCCCCTCCATTGTTTTCCCCCTACCATCCCCTCCCTCCCTCCCTTCCCCGAGGTTCTTTTTTTTTTTTTTTTTTTTGATTGTGATTAAATGATTACATAATTTCAAAGTCACAAGTTCATTCTAACTTCCCTGGAGCAAATTGTCTACCACAGTCTGTAATATATAACAGTGTTCACATGTTATATACCATATTTGTGATCAGCAGCATGAGGATATTTAGTAGTGGTTCAACCAGATGAGCGGGAGTTCTTTGTTTCTTAAGTCCTGTTAGTTTTGTCGTATCACTAACCTTTTGGATTTAGCATCCACTTATGAGGGAGACCATGTACCGTTTGTCTCTTCGTTCTTGGCTTACCTCGCTCAACATGATTCCTTCTAGCTCCATCCATTTCCCTGCAAATGCCATTATTTTGTCATTTCTAATGGCTGCATAATATTCCATTGTGTATAGATACCACAATTTTTGGATCCATTCATCTGTGGTGGGGCACCTAGGTTGTTTCCATATCCTAGCTATTGCGAACAGTGCTGCAATAAACATGGAGGTGCACGTGTCCTTGTATATTGGTTCCTGTTGTTCAGGGTAGATGCCTAGAAGTGGTATGACTGGGTCGTAAGGGAGGTCAATCTTTAGCTTTCTAAGGACCCTCCAGACTGCTTTCCAAAGTGGTTGTATAAGTGTACATTCCCACCAGCAGTGTAATAGGGTTCCT